CTTATGTCCGAAATTCCACACATTTCATCACCTTAATCTCCTCCCTCACGGTCGATCCCCAAGACATTCTCGTCAGTTTCGATGTATCATCCCTATTTACCAATATCCCCATACATGACTCTCTAGTTGTTCTGCGAGATCACTTGACCAATGATAACAAGTCTTTGGTTTTGGCAGATCTTGCGGAAAAATGCCTCCTTTCAACATATTTTTCTTTTAGAGGCAATTTCTACAAACAAATATCTGGAACACCAATGGGTTCTCCCCCTTTCCCTGTCATTGCTGACATTTTCATGGAAGCCTTTGAGTCTTTAGCCCTAGAATCTTACCCCTTGAAACCAAAAGTCTGGTTCCGCTACGTTGATGATACATTTATCATCTGGCCCCATGGTCAACATACCCTTTCTCCCTTCCTAGATCATCTTAACTCACAACATCCGAGTATAAAATTCACAATGGAAGTAGAGAATAATCGCTCCCTTCCGTTTCTCGATGTGTTAGTCACCTCCAAGCCCAATGGCCGTTTGGGTCACTCTGTTTATAGAAAAAAGACTCACACGAATCGTTACCTACATGCTTCATCACACCACCATCCTGCCCAAAAGAATTCTGTGATCAACTCTCTCATCCATCGGGCCATTTCGATTTCTGAACCTGACAACCTTAGAGAAGAACTTGGCCATCTGCAAAAAACCCTTGTCGCCAACGGTTACTCTAAGTCCACAACTCAAAATATTACACACCGACATCTACATCCCCCTTTACATCCTAGGACGACAAATTCAGAATCTTCGGGTAATACTCCTGTGGCTTTTCTTCCGTATATTCGAAGTGTCACTGATAGGATTGGCAAAATTCTTCGCAAAGAAGGTATTAGGACTACTTTTCGACCACCCAAGAAAATCTCACAATATCTACCCTCTCCTAAGGACCCATTACCGCCCCTATCTTCCTGTGGTGTCTATTCTATTCCTTGTTCATGTGGACATGTGTATATTGGCGAAACTGGTCATTCCGTCAAAACTCGGATTCAAGAGCATCAAAGATGCATTCGATCAGGTCTTTTCTCCCATTCTGCAGTTGCAGAACACTGCCCAGAAACCGGTCATTCCATATTGTTCGAAAAAAACCCATAATATTTCTAAGAGCCCCTTCTTTTATTCCAGAAAAATTGGCGAATCTCTAGAGATCCGAAAAAATCCACATATTATCAATCGAGAGGAAGGATACTATTTGTCTCCCATCTGGAATCTCAGTCTAGAGCCGCCGTCCGGTCCCGCTACCACGATGCAGCCACATGATTGGCCAGCGCGCGCTTCTTGACGTTCGCGCCATGGAGTGTGCCGATACGTCCCGACACGACAGGTCACCGCGACTATAAATAGAGCGGTAGCGGAGTAATCGTCGGATTCACTCCCCGCCTCTCGACGCGTTAGTGTTCTGAGCTGTTGGACGTGAATCCCTGACAAATATTTCAATATTTATACCTCAAAAAAAAGTTTAAAATAGATTGAAGACCATTGCATACCACTTCTAGAATGGGTTTATAAGAGTCCCGACTTGTCCCCGATAGAAACTTGGCGCGAAATGAAAAAAGCTGAGAAAACATCCTGCCAGGTTTGTCAACGAATTGAAGGAAAAATTGCAAGAAATATGGGATTCGTTTACATTAGAACTTTTGTCAGAACTTGGTAGAAACTATGCCCAGAAGAATTGTGGATGTCAAAAAAAACAAAGGGGGTCTATATTCTATGCGTTTTTTAACTTATTATTATTTTGTTTAATCAATAGTTTTCATTACGATATAAAATATTTTCTATAATGAGGAAATTCAAAAATGTTGTTCGATACATTAAAACATAAAATTTACGCTGTGATTTTATTTTTTTTTTCTCTAAAATTTAATTTTCTTGTCAATCTAACGTTGGGCCAACTGACATGGTAAGGGGCTCGCATTATATTTATGAAAATTAGATAAATGCGTTGGAAAATTTGGTTACGTAATTCTTTAGAAATCATTTCAACTTGTTTGTATAAAATGTTATAAAAAATAAGAAGAAAGTAATGTTAATAGTCAAATAAAATTAGATGAAATAATTCTTATTTACAAAACACTCCAAAAGCTAAAACATTTCAAGTAAATAAGTGGTAATCACAAAAAATATCAAAATAATATTCGTATACTTATTAGTATTTGAATTTTTATATAAAATCTAATATAGAGCGATTGAGAATATCTTAAGAATTAGTATAGATAGATCAATTTTCCTACTTATTGTATCTGATCATGGTTTACAATAAAACAAGTCAAAGAAAAAGCGATATACTTAAAGCTTAAATTATATAGTCCAGTAAATAAATTTGAAATATGGCGATACTATGTAATTTTCTGTGTCACCATCGTTTTGCATGAAAATTTGGATTTAGGTTCTACTTACCCTCCACGTCACTTTTGGACTTGTGCCGTTAATTGCTTTTTAGTTTTTAGGGTTGAAAACTACCCCTATTAGAAGAAAAAATGGTATAATTGTAAATTAAAGTGAGTAATTGATTTAAATCATCTTTTAATGCAGTGAATGAATGTCAATTAACATTAAACAATATAATTTAAGATTCTATTACAGTTTAAATTAAAACAATGTCACTAAATACCTTGTCTCCAACAAAGCTTTCCGAATGATGTTCTTGAAGAAATTACATGAGTGATGACGCTGGCAACGACGAGGAAGACAATCTTTCCATTGCCGTTAAAAGAAAAAATTATTAGAAGGGTCAAAATTAAATCAAAGAATCTACTGGATGAAAGAAATAACTGATCTTAGTATGGTTCTGATCTACAACAGGTTACAAGAGCAGTTTGGATGATATGAAAGAGCAAATCCGACGTAAATGTCCTATAGAATTATTTGAGAATTTTTTGACAATAAAATTATTGAATATATTACAAAGCAGACAAATTTATATGTCGCACCAAATAACAATCATCAATTTTATGTAACGCAGGAAGGGATAAAGATATTTCCTGCTATTTTACTTTAAACAGGTACCATAGATTGCCATGAGAGCACAATTATTAGTGTGTTTAGATAAGGATCTACAGGTTCCTCTCGTGACTAATGCAATTTCAAGGAAGCGTTTCCAAGAAATTAAAAAATACCTCTCATGAACAAACTAAATAAAAAAATTAAACAAATTACCATATTCCGTAAAGACATCACTCCTTTAAACAGATCAGTAATAGGAAAGCCAATACGATTTGGGTACAAGCACTGGATGTTTTGTAGTTCAACTGGTTATTGCTACAACTGTGACACATATTATTGTGGAGCATCAGTGGATAAATCAAAAGCCTTTAGGATCACAAGTTGTTCTAAAAATGCTTGATGTCGTTGATGTGCCTACTGACCACGTAGTATTTTTTGAAAATTATTTTATTAGTTACAATTTGATGGAATCTTTAAAAGAGAAGGGCTTTAGGGCAACAGGCACAGCAAAAGAAAATCGTATGAAAAAATGTCCTTTATTACCTTCCGCTGTAATTAAAAAGAATAATCGTAGATATTTCGAATATCGCTTTGACAGAACAAGTCTACTACTTTTTGTAAAATGGAAAAACAACATATGGTCACAATGGCATCAAATTACGATAGTATTGAACCACTATTAAAAGTGAAACTCGGTGTGCTATCAAAGGAAAAATTGATATATCCCAACCAAAACCTTTCTCAGCATATACTGCTTCAATGGGTGGTGTTGATCTCTTTGACCAATAATCGTTTAATAACTGCCAAGTCAGTATACAAGTTTAAAAATGAGACGGCTCATTTTTACCCACATACTCAACTCGGCTCTTGATACTTGCTTTTCAACGAGATGTAGTACGTCATTGTGTAAGAACATGCGAGAAATCTACTTATTCTAGAAAATGACTAGCAAAATCCTTACCAATTGGTCTAAAAATAAATGAAAGCGGTCATTTTTCAAATGAAAGAGTCTGTGTTTGAAACGTAATTATTTTGTACAATTTCATACTCGGTCGATTATAATACAGGATACACCCCTATGGGACAAATATATTGGACAAATTTAAATGAAATTATAAGTTGAAATTGTTTCTGAATTCCCTTTGCCCGATTCGTCTCGATCGACGATGATGAAATAAAATGTTGAAGTCATGGATTAAAATATAGTTTTCTTAACAGCTATTGAATTATTACACTGTAGTTCTTGTTAAGGTAGAAATTTATAATAGACTGCGTTCCAAACTAGCCCCGAAGCTATATTTATAATCTCACAAAAAATGCTACGATTCATTAAATAAGTGTATAATAGACTACATAGAACAAAACAAAAGGAAATGATTGCAGGCGTTTCCTTAATAAAATACTAGGTAATAGTTTGCAGGAAGTTAAACAAACTGCTATTAAGCTACTCATTGATATGTTTCAAAATTATACATGGTGAAACTATACAAATTCTGGAAATTAAAATTAATGTGAGATTACAAATTAATGGACTAATTTGTGATTAAACAGTAAGAAAATACAAAATTTTCATTTTTACTCAGTGTTTTTATATTTTTGACTCTCAATCAGCCAATGTACGCGTATGAGTACACCTACTTATTGATAAAAAATCGTAACAACTAATCTTTGCTATTTAACCCAGGTTCAACAATGACATTAAAAAAATGTATTATCGAAAAAAATATCGTGTAATCAAACGGGTTAAAAATTCACGCAAGAAAGGCAGTTGGCACTTCAGTTTTTAACCAATATTACAGCGATATATTGGTATTTTTAGATCAAAAGATCTTATTATAAGAAGACAAACAAGAAAAGAAATAAAGTCGGTTTAAAAACGACATTTTTAATGTTAATGCCGATCAATCTAATCAATCTGCAACTCAAAAGTTTCTTTTAAAACTTTTGAATACCATATTTTATATCCAGCGAACTTTAAGATCTTAGTTTTTATGTAACATTAAAAATGTATCTTACCTGCCATGTTCCCAGTCCCACTATGGGGATTTTTACACCTCCTATCATTGTTAGAGACATTTTTGTGTAATAATATAGTTAATGGAAATACACACTCTTATAACAACAGCAATGAAACTGATAGACAATAATTCAATTTCATTGTATTTAACCAGGTATATTATCAGGATGATTCATCAGTTAGACCAGATAATATGTAATTTTAAAGATATTTTCATCGTTTGATGCAGAGCCGGAGTTAGTGTAATTTAATAAAAACATTTTTCGCTGTTTTCACACCCTGGTTGGAAACAAAAGGTTGAGTTAAATTAAAGCATACAAAGCTATTCCAATTAAAAGGATTTATTGAAAAATTAGTTTAATGTTATATAGTTCTTTCTGTTAATTTTTTTTATTAAATAGGATTTACGTACAGTGTGACCCAATTACATTGCTAATACCTCTATAAATTGTGTTTCGTTCATTACACCAGAACTGTTAAACAATGGCTAAATGAAAATGTCCCAAGCCGTTGAATAGGCTGTGGCAATACGTTGATAAGTTGGCTACACTACCCAGGTATCAGATCTTACAATTTTAGGCTACTTTCTCTGGAGAGTTCAGACGAAAATTTGATCAAACCCGACCAAGAGAGGTAAACGAACTTTCGCAAGAATTCAACAGCAGTATTTCCTCCCAAATGTCATTAGAAATTAGAGGCAGTCAGACGTTTAAGATTTAATTTCAACACACAGGAACACTGCTCTCCGCTTATACGTATTTCGATTTTCTTTAGGTCTCTTCAGAGCAACTTATGCAGAAGTTCTGGAATGAAAATAAATCGCTCCCGTCATAAAAGTATAATTATAAAAATAATTATACTTTTATATATAAAGCTTATATTATCATGGTAAGCAAAAATATGACTAAAAGGAATAATAAAAATACACAAATATCAAATGTACAATACATGAATATACTTTATCAATACAATACATAACATGTATCGTCTTCTTGTATTTTACGTCTAGGACAGTCGCTCACGTTGGCTCCTGAAAAACTACCGTCTTCTGTTTTACTTAAAGCGCCAGAAACTCTTCCCTCAGACACATTGAACGTATCAAGAAAGCATTTCTTACAAACCATAACGGATAATTCATTGTATACGAGCCCCTTCTCATATTATTAAAAAATTAAATTTTAGAGAACAAAAATAAAAGCGCAGCGTAAATTTTAGAAGTTTTAATGCATCGATTAACATTTTGATTGAGACACGATAAGTACCGTCTGCTACAATTGATTATCCACGGAAAAATAGACAGTAAGCGAGGGCCAGGCAGGAGAAGACACTCGTGGCTCCAAAATCTGCGGAAGTGGTTCGGGCTCACATCGGTCGAACTATTCAGAAGCGCCGCAAACAAGATCAAAATTGTCATGTTAATAGCCAACGTTCGCAACGGACAGGGCACTTGAAGAAGAAGAGTAACATTTTTGAATTTCCTAATTATAGAAAATATATTTATAAAAACTATTGATAATGAAAACTATTGATTAAACAGATTAATATTAAAAAAAAAGCAGAATATGTAATATTAACACAAAAAAAAAATGTGAAAGTTTACCACTGAGTTACATTCCCTTTATTTTTAATTACATCCACAATTCTTCAATGCATAGTTTTTACCAAGTTCTGCCAAAATTTTAATGTAAGCCATATTTTTTGTAATATTTCCTTCAATTCGTTGACGGAACTGGCAGGATATTTTCTCAAAGCTTTTTATATTTCGCTCCATAAAGTCTCTATCGAGGACAAGTTAGGACTGTTAGAAACCCATTCCAGATGGTTCCAATATATTTTAAACTCTTTTTTGAGGTATGCAACCTTCGCCGTCCTGTTGCAAGACAAAATCTTCCGCTGATGTTATATGGTGTTCCATAATCGGTAAAAGAGATTCTTCTAAAATATTAAAATATTTATTTGTGTTTACAATTCCATCAATAAAATATAACTTTCCCACACCTTGAGAAGACATACTGCCCCAGATCATGACAGATGCAGGAAATTTGATTTTTCTCTTCAGACAGTCGCGATGGAAAGCTTTGTTTTCCTGCGAATGACGCGACTCCTACTCTTTCCAACACACACTTAAAATATGTTCTTCTTTCAACTGTTAATTTAACAGCACCTTCGGCATTACGGCATAAAAAAATTTCATTGACATTTTTATTTCTTTTATTCAGATTTGACATTATCATCTATACTTCTTCCTCGTCTTCTTGGAGTAATAAAATTATTGCGTTAAGTTTGCGAGAATTCATTTTTCTAAACGTACAACCTTTAACAGAACAAACGTGAAACTAATTTCTAAACTTGTTTTGATCGCGACATAATATATGCATAAAAACTAATCTAACAAATCGGCTCACCCAAAACTGCCGTGAGTCATTGTACAAAGAATAAATATGCAGCATAAATTGCTGCAATATGAATCAAAGGACCCAAACTGACGCCATCGAAAAATAAAACTTCAAGAAGATATGAAAAATAAGAGAAAATTAAAAAAAAATTGTAAGTTAAAACCTTGTATTTGATTTGTTTAGTCCGATTTTAGTGCAGATAATTAATTATCAATTATTTTCTTCCGTTTACGTGCAACTAGAAGAAGGCCTTTTTTCCTCCTCGTCACTGACATCAAATAAGACAAGACAATTAAAAGCGAGCTCGTAATGATGATTAAAACATCGAAGAAAAAGAAAACAAAGAAAACTCACAAATTTATTTTACATATTTATTTTTTTCCACTGTATTATTTATTATTTGTTTCAATGAAAATAATAAAACACCTTTATTTCAATAAATCCGAAATAGTTTAATAGAAACTCTATTAATCTATTAAAATCACGTTTTACCGCCAATTTAAAATTAATTCTATTTAGATTGCTAATGTTCTTACAAGGAATATTTAAAATCACTCTCATTGTGACGTAATGCGCGAACTCGTCCCAATTTGGCGCTCGGGAGTTTCATACCTCCGTGAGTCAAGTACAACAGATTCTGCTGTAAGTGTATACCGTGCGCTTCGCACTATTGTAACAAACCGTAGCTTTAGTATTCATTTTCACTGTTATAATAAACTCTCGAACGTTATTATTAAATCCATTATTCATTGATGTAACCTCAACTATTAATAAGGTAGTTGTAAAAGCACCATAGACATTTAATACAAATAAAACGAGTATTACAGTAAAATCGCGTTTCCCCAGTGCGTCAGAGAAAACTGACGCAAAGCAGTCACTGGATCTCTTTCTAATTTGCCAGTTTTATCGATCACGTGACCTAAATGACCAATGTGAAGGTCACGTGGTCGGTAAACCCGGCTCATTAGAAAGATACAGGGACTGCTTTGCGTCAGTTTTCTATGTCACACTGGGGGAACGCGACTCTATGATAGCAATCAGTCTATTTGTATTATGTATGTATACGTCTATTTCTAATTCACTAATAACACCTATAACTCATTCACCTTTTTTCACTAAATAAAATCATATTTTTAATCTTTAATGGTCGAAGCTGGTACAGCAATAAACAGTAAATTACTTTACATTCATTCTCGACAAAACAAATGTTATGTGGAGAAAGAAAACTAGGGCTGCTTATAGTGGCGATTTCATGTACTAATGACTAAAGTCACTTTCATTCTGAATAGTACTTATACCATTAGTACTATTCAGAAATAAAATAATATTCCATACGAAATCAAAACGGCACTTTTATAAATGAAAAATAACAAATCCCCTGGGGATGACATAGTAGTGATCGAAGCGATCAAACCAGGTGGAAATAAAATTAGCCAGGCGTTGGCCAAGCTTTTCACGAAATACATCTACCAAGGAAAAATTTCTTCTCAATGAAACAGTGCAGTCATTATTTTATTACACAAGCATGGAGACATAGATAAGCATACATATATAAACTTTTCACAAAAATTATCAAAAAATGACTGGACGCTAAATTGGACTTCTATCAGCAGAGAACAAGCTGGATTTAGATCGGGATACAGCACTAACGACCACTTACTAGTGATAGAGAAGTCTGCAGAATACAAGAAACCATTGGCACTGATTGTGTATTGAGTACACCATTGAATAGACCATCGCTGTACTAACATAATCAAATATATCTACCAAAATGCCACAGCTACTCACGACGTTTTTGGAAAATACTTGTGAGGAGGCACATCTGAACGAGCATGGTATCAACATAAGTGGAGAGAAGCTTAGTCATTTGAGAGTTGCAGATGACATCGTCCTTATAGCCAATCGTATGGATGATGCAATAATAATGTTTGAAAAATTATATCACGCTTCCTTGGAGGTCCGACTAAAGATTAATATGAACAAGACGCAAAGAATGACTAATCTTGAGCAAAATGGAAATATTGCTGTTGATGGTAGGAATATTGTGCAGACTACATCGTACAAGTACCTAGGACATGAAATTTGGTGGAGCAGAGATAACCAGACATGTGAGCTCCCACGTCGCATAGTATTAGCCTGGGCAGCGTTTGGTAAATTAAACTAGATATTTTAATCGGATCTACTCATATGCCTCAAAAGGAAAATCTTTTACCAATATGTGTTTCCTATACTCACGGAGCGGAAACATTAACACTCACAAAAAAGATTCCTCAGATGGCTTTAGAGCGCCATATGTTGAGTATCTTTCTAAGAGACCGAATCCCAAACGAAAAAGTACGTCGTAGAATAAAAACAACAGACGCCATAAAAAAAATCGCGTAGTTAAAATAGAATTGGGCACGACACGTCGCCAGATTATCAGACAACCGATGGACAAAACGTATTTTAGAGTGAAGACCAAGGCAAGAAGCAATACGAAGCAGAGGACGTCAACCAACTAGATGGTCTGACGACCTGAAGCGTGTTAGATATAACTGTATGTAAGCCGCACAAGAAGAAAGAGCTGAGGGAGTCCTATGTCCAACAGTTTACGCATACAGGTTGATGGTGATTATGATGAGTAATAATAATAGCAGAAAGTACCTAGAGAGTTTCAACCCAACTGTCTTGATACTTTAGTACTTGAGTTACTGTGAACAACAGCATTTCCTTGTTCCTGAAGAATTCTCTTATAAAGGAAACAAAATGTTACGAAAGATCCACACTATAGTCGATGTTAAAGATACAATGGTAGACACAATGTTAAAACTATATTGAAAAAAAAATAATAAAATACCAATTAAATTTTGATAATTTATTTTTTAATATTGTCAAATTATTTTATTTTTACAAGTAACTGACGAACACATTTCTGATTTTCCAGTTTTTTTTTCTTTTTTTTTTATTTTGTCACTTTATTTACTTTTGTATGGGTACTCTGGATGGTCTTTAATTCTAAAACAGAAAATCAATTTTAAAAATAGATTTAATTGTAAATGTTTTAATCGTAATATGATTCTCATGCGAATGAAAAATGAGATAGCCTTAAGATATTTTTACCAAAATAATTTATTGTGTTATTTACAGCACAGTCACTATACTACTACAGCTATTGATTATATCGACCCCTACATAGAATAACGTTGTAACTAACATTTTTGGCAATTTTGAGTTACAGTGTTCTTCTTGGATAACTTTTTACGCTCTATTTGTCAACATGGTCGGTGTGGCTGTAACTGCATTAATAAGAAAGATTCTGAATGGAATAATACCGTAAATATAAAAAAAAATGATTTATTTGTAGAATAACAGAGTAACTACAGATACGACGTTGAACCAAACCAAATTTTCGTCGAAAAATACTGTATCGTACCAGTTTCAAAATAATTTTCATATTTCAAAAGTTACACCGTAACTGTTGTTACAATTTTATTCGCCGCATTGGCTGCTAAGTTCCGATAATTATGTAAGTAGATACCATACGTCATGTGTCAATATTTCGCGGCATTATTGTGAGAATACTTTGTAATAAAATTTGCATTTTAAAAACTATCTACTATTATTATTCCTTAACCTACAACGAGCAATAATTTGAAATTCCTATTAACTTTTTCCGATGAGAACATCGTAAGTGCAGTTACAAGATTATTTGATGAAACTTTATATTTATATAAAAAACTGTAACTGCAACAGTTCAAAAACCTATTCTCTAATAAAAAAAGTAGATCTTATTCTAAAAGAGGAGTTTAACATTTATATAACTACTTACTTCTTACACTGAAAAAATGTCACATACATATTAAAAAAGAAATCAAAGAAATTGGTATCTTTTTTTATCATTTCTGAAGAATATTATAAATGCTGGTTACAACGTTATTCTTTGCAGGGGTCGATATGTTTGATTTTAGATAAACAGAGTAATATTTGTTAATCCTTGAAACTGTAACCTCAAATATTCTTTATTTTCTAGTGCATATACTGTAGATAGTCTAGAAGTTTCCGATCCTATCGGTTCAATTTATTTTATCAAATTCCGTTCTCAACAATCAACTGGATGCCATGTCGGCAACATCTTCTTCTTTAAGTGCCATCTCCGCGACGGAGGTTGGCAATCATCATGGATATTTTGACCTTCAAGGCAGCTGCTCTGAACAATTACCTTGAGCTGCAACCAAACCACTCTCTCAGGTTCTTCAACCAAGAAACGTGTCTTCTTCCTACGTTTCACCTACCCTCTATTTTTCCTTGAATTATGAGTCTGAAGATGTTGAATATTTCACCTCTCATTACATGAGTCGGCAAATTGCTAAGGATTTAACAAGAGAAATCATAAGATTTCTTAACTAGCGAAACTGAATTCAAATCTTTACCACTGTGCTATCTACAACTTGCAACGCAAACAGATTGATGAATTGGTCGGCATGGGAGCCCTGCATCAAAATAAAAATCGAATACCTTCATTATGTTTTATTTATTTGCTCTGTTTCGAGTACCAGAAACTGAATTCACTATGAATTTCGACCATGATGAACGGCTTGTGGAATATATATTTTAGATGCCCTTGCCGATCAATTCATTATTCTATTTGCTTTGCAAGTTGGAGAAAGCCCAGTGGTAAAGATTTGAATTCAGTTTCGCTAGTAAAGAAATCTTATGATTTCTCTTGTTGAAATTATATGGCGTAGTTACGTCTGTAAATAATTATTTTGATAATTATTGTCCTAAAGGCGGGTTGACACGATCCAAGAATGCTTGGACTCTAACTTGGACCAAGTAAACTTGTACAAGTGTACTTGTATTAGGTTGGTTGCCACAGTTAAATGACTTGCATGTTAAATAACCATTGTAAAGATGGCGAATGTAATTGAGAAAGGTATTTTAGCGGTTCTAGCTGAGATGTTGATACATGAGCTTAAAATCCAGAAAAAAGGAATAAAAAAGAAAAAATACCGCACTTATAGCATCCCTATTTTTATATTTCCTTATCCGTTCTTTTTATAATGGTTTCTCAGCTTCGTAAAACTCCATGAATCTAGTATCTCCCCTTCAGACCATTTTGCTTTTGTGTTTACTTCTTGTTTTCGATTTTTCGAACTACTTGATTCCAAGGAAGTTGGTCAGCTTCCTACTTAACTTGTATAGAACCTGTTGAAACAAATGTACTTGGACGAACAGGTGACACGATCAAAGTAGCTTCTATGTGTTACGCGCGCAACGTCCAAGCAGCATTTAACCAAGTCCACTTGGATCGTGTCAACTCGTCTTAAGATGGGATAGACTTTGTTTCGATTCAAAGTGGTGGCATATTCCGCTCTGATGAGACCTAAAGAGGTTGAAATGCGTATAAGCGGCTTGCCGCCGCCCTGCATCGAAATAAAAATCTAATACCGTCATTAGGCTAAGGATTTCTTTATCTCTCAACCAAGATGAAATTCTTCATCGAGCATGCACCTCCCCTGCGTTCGATTTTACCCTATTATATTAATAGAATTAGGCGACATTTATTATTTTGAATCACGTATCCATTATACCCTATTTATCTTAATTATACAGATGTCAATCTACGGTTGGAAAAGAAGGTTAGTATAGTGACAGTGAGTATAAAACAATAATATACGTAATTAACTACTATTAGAACAGGAAAATAGATAATATCAGTTTTTAGTACACTAATATTAATGAAATGTGATATTATTAGAGTATAAAACATTAACAATAAAATCAATTATACTAACTTGGGATTAAGATTATCCATGCGGAACAGTCTTCCCTCTACGTCTTTATCCAAAGCCTCCAAAGCTTTCAAGTCTTCGGCGTCAAGTGTAAAATCAAGAAAATTAAAGTTTTGCTTTACCCTCTCTGGTTTCACGCTCTTGGGAATAACAACGATATCATTTTGAGTTAAATGTCTTAGCAGTACCTGGCTGGTAGCTTTGTTGTGTTTTTGTGCGATTTTGGTTACTACTGGATCAGCAAGAAGACTGGGGTTGTCTACTTTACTAAAACGTATAAATTTCAATTATTATAAGTGAACAACTTGTTTATACGAGGTGCTTCAATAATATTTGTAAATATTTTAAGTGTCGTAAAGTTAGGTTACTTTGGATTATTTTCGAACTTTACAGCGTATTAACTTTTGAACCCAATGTTATTAATTTTTGTGTTCTGTCACAATTTTAAGGTCCTAATTAGTGTTGTTAAAAGTGGTGGAGTGGATGGCCAAAGCACAGAATAAATCACAATGGTTTTATTATTCTGCGGCCAAAGTCAGACCAATTTAACAAATTTTGTAGTGGGTGACTTTGGCCACCCTCTAGCGGCAGAACCTACAACTTTACGAAAGCAGTGAGATTGCTCGCGAAGTTTCGTAAGGGTGTGTAAGTATTTAACTATAAAAAACATAGATGTCACCCAGTCATCCAACGCTGGTGACCAAAGTAAGTCAACTTTACGGTACGCAATTTCAGTGTCAAATTATAATTTAGCATTTTAGTCTAAAAGTTAAAAATGGCGCAGATATTGAGATGGCGACTTAGGTAAAATAATAAAATTTAGGACAGCTTGCCTTGCAAGGTCAAATGCTCTCTTCACTGTACTTCAACTAATATTTTTGGGAACGACAGAATGACAGAACGATATTCTTCTTCTTCTACTTCCTTCTTGTATGTAGGCTTTAAAGCATATTTCTTCTTCAATATTAGCCTCCTAAATTGTTTAAATTGTCGCACCATCTTTTTCTTGGTCTGCCAGTACTTCTTCGTCCATTTGGTGACATCTCGTACTATTCGTGCTGTCCTATCCTCTGCCATTCTACTGATAGGTATGATCGTTCCACTTCTGTTTCCGTTTTTTTACCTATCCATTTATGTCTTCTATATTGCATGCTCTTTTTATGTTTTTGCTTCTCTCCCTATCCAACAGACTTTTCCCTGATATCCGTCAGAGTATTTTCATCTCTGTTGTTTTTAGTAGTCGTCTCGTTTTAGATGTGTCAGGTCTTGTCTCCGCCGTGTATGTTAATATAGGTCTAATTGCTGCTTTATAGATTCTTGTTTTTGTATCTTGTCTTAGGTGTTTGTTCGTCCAGATTGTGTCATTAATGGATTCCACCGCTTAGTTTGCTTTTAAGCTTTGTTGTCTTACGTCGTCTTCAACATCTCCGTAACTAGTTACGGAGACCAATAATATTAGTGAAGAATAGTAAGAACGATATTCTATAAATAAAAATAAAAAGATAAATAAATAAAAATTGTCATAATTTGATATTAAAATTCCGCACTTAAAATATTTACATGTAGTAATGAAATAAATAAATGAGATAAATATATGTCTATATAATAATTACCACTGACTATAAATTTGTTCACTACATTTTTTTTATTCTATACCTGCCAAATTTTTTCATAAATTCGTTCAATCCAGGTGATCCAAGTGTACCATACGACACAATCACAATATTATGCTTTTTGCAGTAATCTCTGAGTTGTTTCCGCTGGAAATACACGTGAAGTTCTACTTGAATATTGGCTGGTTGAATTCTACAATTTTTCACTATTCTGTCGAGTTGGTCCACGCTAAAGTTGGAAACACCGATGGTTCTAGTTCTTTTCGCATCTACTTGCTCTTCCATTTTCTAAAAGGTGTACGTAACTGTATTTATCATATAATAATATAAAATAATCCAAAATTCTAAATAGACGAGGCAATGAAGCACTATAATAAACGTATCAATTTTCCACAGCAACATGGTTTTTCTAGATCGCAAAACATGACTATGATAACGACGATAGTTCTCAAGATAACTGGTCTCCAAGGTGGGCCTCGTCTCCTAGAGTTTCATGTTAATTTCATTCTAAAGACTGACATATTACTCAAGGGTTTTCGTGGTAGTTGAACACAAATATTTTTTTAAAAAATGACCTGTGTTATCCGGGGCATATAGTAAGGGGAAGTCGATATAAAATATTACAACTGATCCTTAAAGGAAAAATATAGGGTCGTAGAGACGTAGGAAGAAAACAAGTTTCTTGGTTAAAAAACATTCGTGAATGGACTCAGATATCAAATGCAGGACAATTATTCCATATTACAGAAGATTCGATACATAACGATCATCATTGCGAAGAAGCCTTCGCAATGATGATCGTTAACGTCGGATAATTCTGATGCGGTAAGAGAAGAAGAAGGAGATAATCAATAGTCAATAGATATAATTAACTATCTCCTATAGATAAAAATTTCTATGATCCAGTGAAGTTGCAAAAAGACTGCGTCATCTCATGTGGATGTAGAAAGAATGGCTTAGTTTGCAATTTGGACTATAACATTGGGCTCGGTCTAATTGCACGAAGAATTATAAAGAAAATCAATTAGCCGATATAGAAAATGGGGAAGAAGTGAATTCAAAAAATACGAGTATTTGTTAATCTTCTTTTTTACACAATATTTTTTTTATATTTATATTCAGGAAATCATGTTTCTTAACTCTTACTGGATACCACACTTTCATAAAAATATTAAATAACAAATTAACATGGAACCTATACCAGCAACGTCAAAACCGCTAAGCAACATCTTTTGATTATAATACTCAAGATGACGAAATCGCCGTCATAATATTCGTGTTCTGTGATATCGAAAACTCCCGAGTAATCACTGTCGACTGATTTACAATAAAATTAACATGAAACGACACCTTGCGCACCAGGTAGCTCGAAGACGATCATCGTAATCATATTCGTGTTCAGCGATCCCGAAAACTCCCGAGGAACAAGATGTTTTTTTGCCGAGGAAATGACTTTTCCTTGTGTACAAAATGCAATTTTTATTTTACCACCATAAATTTTATTTGCAAACTTTTCTAAAACTTGCAATTGCTCGAATGTAAAAAGTTTCTTGCCTCGCCTAAAAAGTGATCTAGAATTCAAGAGTCAAGAGCAATATCTTTTATATCATTTTGTACATTTCTATATTAAGGATCACTTGAAGTATATGCCTTATGATAACTGTTTATATAACACGTACCAAACTACACATATTCCAAGTCCACATGCCTACAACCGAGGCTGAAAGTTAAGAAGTAAAGGAAATATATAAAACACTGGGAAACATTATCTCGAAGATTACAAAGAAACATGTTATGGGAAACTAGAGTGCAAAGGTCGACGAGACAGTCAACAATGATAACCTAAGAGAAACTGTAGGTAAATATGGACTCGGCGAATGTAATGCAAGAGGAGAACGCCTGATCCAATTCACTTTGGATAATGAATTTACAATCACAAAGATGAATTTAAAAAAATATCCTAAATTATCAACATATCTGACCATGTTCAGCACCAGGCGTAATTCTAACATGATAAGATGTTAAAATTACGCCTGGTGCTGAATATGGTCAGATTACAAATTATTAAGAGCAGAATTCAAAATAAAGTTCACAGAAGACACAACAAGCATAAAAAGAAGAATACCTAAAAATCTAAATCTAAATTTCAGTTGGCTGTAAAAAATAGCAAGACACCAGAAGTTACAGGAGATCCAGAAAAAACTTGGACTGACACAAAAAAATGGATTTTCAATGCGTTAGATTCGGCGAAGACCAAAGAAAAATTATAGAAAATTACATCAAAGAATCACTGGATGGCGGAGGTGAGTAAGACACCTAAGTAGAAGAGATAAAAATAGAAACATCAATCCCATATGTAATGAAATAATAAAGATGATTCAAGATATAAAAAAGGCAACTATAACCAATCGAAAGGAATAACGGAGACATGCAAAAAATTAAATAAATACAAACTGTACTTACCTTCCAAACAGCCAGATGATCAGTGGGAAGAGGTTCCATGGGCTTTCCAGCTTCGATAAATTTCATGTATATAGGAGAATGCATCAAATATAAATCAACATACTCAAGCTGAAGCTTTTGTAAGGATTCTTTTAGAGCTGACTCAACGAGATCGGGATGGAGGTGCGTCGATGGAAGCTTGGTGGTAATAAAAATATCTTCCCTCTTAAGCTTGCCGGAAGTCAACCATTTATTTAGAACTTTGCCAATGACATGTTCGTTTTGGTATACAGTTGCAGTGTCGATATGGCGGTAGCCAGTTTCCAAAGCTGCCTCAAGGGCGGCTTCCAGTTCTTCTTCATTGGTAGCCTAAATAAATTTATGATATTAAAACGATATTATCGTATGGAAATATATGTAATTGATGATACATTGAGTCAAACACTACATTTACACAATATTTGCCTTGAACCGAAACTATATTGGAAGCAACAGGCTCAAATAAACAAAGATGGAAAACATATTTGTATAAGTCTTCAATATAATTTTATTATATTAATATAATCGAACGGTATTGATATAGCCATCCATATTTATCCACTGGTGAATAAAAGCCCTATTTATTAAGGTAAATATTGTTGGGGCGTTATCAAGAAGCAATAATGCTTTATCTCTTTTGCCATTTTTTAATTAATGCATCCAAGCACTCTTCCTCTTCCCCTTCCTAGGTGTAGCTTCCTCCGTGGTTATTGTTAGTTGTTGCCATCGTTAGTTGTTGAAACCATCAGGGCCTTATATCGATGTTTTGCCACAAATTACATTCGATCTACGGATCAAATCAGTACATCGGTACATACATTTATCTTAATAAAAAGCATTCGACATCATTTGTAAACACGTCAGCAAGTGAACTAATAAAAAAATAAAATTGACCTTATCAACTTCGCCTAGATTGTGTTTTCGAAAGCAATCAGCGTTATTTGTTTCTGCGGTTCCTTTGAGGTAATCCGCTTTCGCCGCGATCAGTGTCTTTGAGAATGTATATAAGTAGAAGGTTTAGAAGGTAAAATAAGCATAACTCAAAACATAAAATATTAAGTTCTGATATCCCGTATTAAATTTTATGTTTCGTTCTTTGGTAAAAACCGTATTGCGTATTTTGTTGTTTTACTCTTCCATTAGTTACAAAAATTGTGACCAGTAACATATCTCTTCCGCTATTTTCCTAATTTATAGTGTCAACTAAAAAAAAAATGAAAAACGAGTTTTAATGCGAAAAAACCAGTGTTACCAGTTTACGCCTTGGAAAGTCAATTTCAAAAAATCAAGTGTACGATGGATAAAGCAATACAAAGATAAAATAAGGTTGTTTGTAGCTATAACTTCCCTGTTAGCGAAAATTGTGATCCAGCAATAGAAAAAATGGAAGTGGTGTTGTCATTATGAATCAAAGACTGCAACCAAAAAAGGGTGCCTCTAAGTAGTCGAAAGAAGGCAGAATTTACGCACATTTTAAAGAACATAGTGGTAGTGGTGGTGGTGAATGTACAGATGGAGGATTTCAAGCATCAGAAGGTTGGTTCAATAAATTTAAGGTGCAATGAATTTGCATAGCAATAAAATCGTTGGAGAATCTGCATCTGCAGACACTGTTGCATCAGAAAGGTTTTGCGAACCTGGTAGCTGGTCGAGAAAAAACATCTGAGAAAGTAATTAATGCAGACGAAACTGTAATGTTTTGGAAAAGAATACCAAATAAAACATTTATTTCTAAAAGCGAAAAGTTTGACCCCTTAATTTAATTCAGCAAAGGATAGAGTTACACTGCTGCTTTGTTCTAACGCATTTGGAGATTGTGTTAATAAACTATTGATGCTTTATAGATCTTTAAATCCTCGTGTGTTAAAAAATCAATACAAAGACGACCTGTCAGTGTTTTTCCATGATAATAAGAAAGCATGGGTTACAAGTGCTTTTCTTTGTGACTTGTTCCATAATTGTTTTGTTTCTGAAGTTGAAACTTATTTGTAGTCACAGACTATAGACGTTAAAGCAGTTCTAGTTCTGGGCCAAGGAATAATCCAAGCCCTATTAGATTAAACGAACCTTTAAAAGGAATCCAGATATGAATGTTATGGAATGCTGGAAATAATTTGACATAGCAAAATGCATCGTAAACATAAACGGATCATTGCACGAACAAAACTAAACTGTTCTGATTGCGGGAAATGAGACAGAACGTGTGCAAGTATAAACTTTAACTGTAAACATTGTCGAAATTGCGAGTGAAATACGACGAGATGGGTTCGAACAGATACAATAAGTGACGTTCAGGAGTTACTTGAATCGCAAAATAAAGATTTAACTAAAACCGACTTAAAAAGGAACTGTTAAATTCACAACCCATTGAAGTAGAGGCTTTAACAAGTACTAGAAACGTGACATTTAATTTAAAAAATCTTAGTAAAGGTTTAATAATGGAAAATCAGCTTTGCGATTTCTTTACGAAAATTGATCCATCTACGGAACCAAGTTATATTTTTAATAGGCAAATTGCTAATGCCACTGTTGAGTATTAGTGTAAATTGAAGGAATTTTTAAGAACTGCCAAGCAAGAGAACCTAATCATTCTCTAAAATTATTAAACCTAAAATTGCCTAAACCTGTTTCCCCTATTCTTCTTCTTCTTGTAGTGCCTATCCGTTTCGAATGTTGGCGACCATCATAGCAATTTGTATTTTGCAAACATCTGCTCTGAAAAGATTTGTGGTTGTTGTGTTGAACCACGTACGTAGGTTCCTGTTCCTGGTCCTCGTTTGCCTTCTACTTTTTCTTGTGGAATTAATTGCAGTAACCCATATCTTTCGCTATTAATCATGCTGACTGAGGTATTTAATTTTGGCTGTTTTTATTGTGGTTAACAACTCTTTTCCTTTTTGCATTCTTAATAAAACGTCTTAGTTAGTAACGTGGTCGATATACAACTCCGTACAACAGTATATATATAATATCGTAGTAACCTGATTTTTATGGGTACTGATAAATCATGGCATTTGAATAGTTTAGCCATTTTTTGAAATGCAGATCTTGCTTTCTCTATTCTTAATTTTATTTCTAGCGAATGCTTCCAAATTTATTGACGTTCGTACCAAGGTAGGAGTATATTTTTATTCTTTCTATTGGTTGATCATTCACACTGATTCTTTCAATTGGCTGTTCCTTCTTAAAGATCATCATACATTGTTTTTTCTTAATATTCAGTGAAAGTCCATATCTCTGACTCACTTCTGTGACTCTACTCATTAACTCCTGGAGGGATTCAGAACTGTCACCGAGTCTCACCGTGTCATCCGCGTATCTGATGTTATTGATACATTCTACATTTAACATACTCCACTGCGTCATGAAAAATTTCCTCAGAGTATATGTTAAACAGTAAAAGTGATAGTATACATCCCTGTCGGACCCCACGTTTGATTTTGATGTCATCGGATTCTCCTACCTCTGTACGGATAGACGATGTTTGATTCCAATCCAGATGGCTAATAATTCTTAGATCACACGTGTTTATTCCAATATTGGTTAATATTTCCATCAGCTTGTCGTGTTTTACTGTATCTAACGCTTTATGGTAATCAATGAAGTATGCACAAATATCGTTATTCACATCTCTACATCATTGAAATAGCACTTGTATGCTAAAGAGAGGCTCTCTCGTACCCACTACCTTCCGAAAACCAAACTGTGTTTGCCTGATTTTACTTCTCGTAGTCTCTATATCCTGTATGATTTTTAGAAATAACTTTAAAATGTGGCTCATTAAGTTGAGGGTTCGGAAATCATTGCAGGATACGGATTTTGTTTTCTTTGGTACAGGAATAAACGTTGATTTCAGCTATAATCTTGGTATTAAGGTCGCGGCATATTATCTAGCGTTTCTAGTCCAGCAATCGGATTGCGCGTCCACATTTTCATACATAAAACGTTTCAGTTTGGTGCGGTGAAGACGGGTTATCGCTTTTCCAAATATTTTCTTTTTTATTTGCATCATAATAGCATTTGTCATTGTATTTATATAAAATTTCTTTACCGCGCACCGAGCTTAATTAATTTTTCGAAATCCATTTTAACTTGTACTATTAAACTCTAAATATCAAACCAAAGAGTATTAAAAAAAAGTCTCCTAATTCACAGTATCCGTACCAACAGGTTTCGATTCGTTCCGTGACGGTCGGCATCCATAAAATATTGTTTTCGAATATACTGAACGGATACGTAAGGTGTCTGATACGATCATCGAGCAAAAATACAGAAGAGGGATTGTAAAGGTAGTGGGGGCAAAACTATTGTTAGAATTGCCATTTTGGGAGGCCACATTAAACAAGGAAAGAGAGTGTCTTTTTTGTTTAAGAAATCAAATTTATTTGGGTTATGTTTTGTTGGTACCAACTGTCACATGAAATCTTATTTATATTGCTGATGATGATCTTATAAATCTTAATAAGTGTCGGAAAATTTAAATTTGGCGCCTTTGCATTTCCGGATATGTCCGTCATATCAAGAGGCAACTTTTATGAATTTTGGTCATCTTTTCATAACGATTAGATTCCCTCTTTTGTCTTTTTGCTCGATGGATACGATACGTTCCTGATAGTGTGAATTATTGTTATCAGGTGCCACCAATCACGCACCTCGATGTTCATCGCCCTTCCTTCTGGAGTTTTATTCAAATTTTAATTGGTTAAAAATCGAAAAGGTTTCATATAAAAGTTAATTTTACTTTAAATATGGGACATAGTTCGACTCCAGCAGTCGAACAGTGCAGACGTGCCACAGCGAGAAGAGCGACACCGCCGAGGAGCTGCAACGACCAAGTCCGAGCTGAACTTGTTAGTTCAAGCCGTGAATGTAAGCACGGCAGCGGTGACTTGGCGTTAACAGCGCCTAGGCCTGAAAAACAGAGGCAAAACCTTACGTCGTAACTAGGTTAGCCGGGGAGATTTGTTTTTTAAATCAGATCTTCACGGAGGCCAAAATTGCGGCGTAGGGAAGCGAAAAAGCATACGGGCTTTGCCCGTCGGGATACTCTCTGTGCCTCCGTTGGGATGACACTGTGGGATATAGTTTTTTAGAATTCTATATCTGGCAGACACGGCCCCAGGGTCAGAGAGTTGAGAAACGCAAGAGGATCTCCGCTCTAGTTCTGCCTAGAGCGTGAACAACCGCGTTAGGTCACTGGGTGGCACCCAGAATCCGTGCTGGCAACGGGCCAGACGGACAACAAAAAAGCCTTCTTTCAAATTTTTTGATTAGGCCCCGCCCCCCACAATGGACCGTTCACGGTCTCCGCCGACCCGTAAGGCGAACCC